CACTTTAGCTGCAGCGGTGTCACAACACGGCCAAAGAGAGAGAGAGAAAGAGAGAGGGAGAAAGAGAGAGGGAAAGAGAGCGGAAGAGAGAGCGGAAGAAAGAGAAAGCAAGAGAGAGAGAGAGGGCCAGAGAGAGATTGCGGGAGAGAGCGAGAGAGAGAGACCGAGAGAGAAAGAGGGAGATAATGAGGGAGAGAGAGAGAGAGAGAAAGAGAGAGTGGGAGAGAAAGATAGCGGGAGAGAGAGCAGGAGAGAGAGCGAGAGAGAGAGAGAGAGGGGCAGAGAGAGATTGCGGGAGAGAGAGAGATAGAGAGTGCAACGTTTATAGCACTTGGTCCCAGAACACGTGCACTTTGAGACATCCGTGCACGGAAAAACAAGGAGAACCGAACGAGGAGTGAGCTGCTTCGTGATTGGCCAGAAACACAGGAAGCCGTAAAGTATCCAAACACACACGCACAAAACACACACTGAAAAAAAGCAAGGAATTAGTCCAACCGCAGATGGACGAATAAATAGTACATCGCAAATGACATTCAAGGAAGCTGCGCGTATCGAGACGGGAAAGAAAAACAAAAAAACAATTTGTACGCTAAATCAAAAACATGTACGTGTATATTTATATTTATAGTTATATGACAGTGGTCAAATTGCACCAAAGGGACACACACAATGGATTAAGATTTCAAAATTTGGTCAAAATAAAAATAAAAATAATAGTTTGAGCACTGGCCGCAAAAATAGACTTTACAAGAGTACGTACAATCAGTAGCTTCATAAAGTGACGGATATCTTTAACCACAGAAATGGCTTCGGCTATATCAAAAGAGCTCGATAAATACAGCGGACTACAGTGCTCCCCATTATGCACACGCACACACACACGCACACACACACGCACACACACGCAATTTAAATTACAAAAAAATTCGAATTCATGAACAAAATGTACATCTATGTCTTCACAATGATTTCTGATTGCTTCGTTGCAAAATGCTGCAAGGTGCACTAGACCGAGTTGGACTAAAAGTAGCAAAGGAACATTCTTGTGGATTGGAAAAAAAAAAAAAAACTATATGTGAAAGTTTTTTTTGACTTTTCTGAATGTATATATTTACAGTTTGGAATTGTGGTTGGGAACATAAAGCAGTAGCATAACCCAAAGGTCAATGTGCGCTCTGAGAAAAACAGAGTTGGATCTTTAAGGCCGAGGCAAACTTTGGTCTAGTCAATGTTGGTTTGGATTAATGGAAAATCTCAAGGGTTGGCGTTTTAGAAATGAAATCGTTGAATCGTTAAAAATCTCTGTAAACTTGTATTCTGGGTCAAAATCTGAACCCCCAAACGGCCAATTCTGCTCCTTTTTTCTATCGCTGCTTTAAGTCTCATTATTTGGACAAACCCAACAATATATTTACTTTTAATTGATTTTATTCTGTTCAATTTGTTTGTTTATGATATCGGGACAATAAACATCAATGGACGACACTGTAATTTTCTTTTTATTATGTTGGGTTTTCATCTGTAGTCCCTGGGCAAAAACATCTTTTATCGAGTTTTTTTTCTTACTTGTTTTACTAAATGTGCAATATTAATAAATTGGAATGGACATAAATGACGGTATACAAGACAAGGCAGAACAAGGAAATGTTAAAGGTACACTGTGTAATTTTTACTCCCATCTAGCGGTGAGATCATATGTTGTAATTTACGGTTCTACGGTAGCTTTGCAGAACAATATGACGTCTTTGACAGTGGTCCCCAACTCCCGCTCAAATCCCTTTTTGTCCCTTATTAGCCACTGTATTTCAAGATGGCGCATTGACATGTAGAGTCGTCCAGCCTCATGCACACTTAGAAGACAATTTCTGAGCCTATGATAACAATTCAAAAACATAACATGGGTAATTATTCTTAAAAAAGTCACATTTGTTTTTTCATTTGGAGCAACTGAAAAAATTACACTGAGTACCTTTAAGAGTCTAGTGGTCACATGGATACTTTTTAATTTCAAATCCAACAGGACAGAGTTGTGTATTTTTAATTTTTACCGTTTTACCTTTATCCGCTTCAATCAAATCCAACAGTGTGTTTCTCAGAGAGTGGGAGGTGCGTCACAATGAACACCCGCGGGTTTTCACTTTAACGGCAGATGCTGTAGCAGCAACGGTTTTTTAGCCCCATTGATTCTATATCTACAAATAATAATTACATAAAACAACCTTTTGCGAAGGTTGAGTTTGGAAGCTGGACTCTGCCGTAGAAGATTCAGTTCAGTAAAAATATATATATTTTATTATTATTATTATCATTTGTGGCACTAATTCATCTGCTTTGGTAACTTTTTTTTTTAGAAAGGAAAGGCCGTATGAGTGAACACTTACATCAATTTGATTTGTCGGCGTCTGTGTAGAGTTTGTATGTTCTCCCTGTGTCTGTGTAGGTTTCCTCCAGGTGCTCCGGTTTCCCCTATTCCAGTTAAAACATGTACAGTACAATAGTCCTCTATCACATCACTCCCGCCCCGACCCCACTCCCGTCCCCTTTCTCAACGGGACTTTCCTGATTAAATAATGGTAAAGAAAAAAAACAATTAAAGCTATTTCAGACACATGACATATTTTGTAAATACAAAAAACCTTTTAAATATTTGTATCTTTGTATATTTTTTTATAATTCTCTTCTCTACGCAATGAAAACGAGGCAGCATCGCACCAAGTCACTCCATAGTGCTCCTGTGTCTTTTTAAGCAGAGTCCAGCTTCCATACAGATAAATTATGGCTTACAATTGGGGGTAAAAACGTAAAGAGGGGATGTATATACAAAGGTAACAAATCATTTGTTACATAATAATACAATATTTATCATTATTAGGGCTTAGAAAGAGTATAAATAGTTCAAACATGTTGATTATCCTGATCTTGTCCCTATAAACAATCTCTGCTGGTGAAAAGATAAACATTTTGCGGACTGGAAATGTCACGGGAATCTGTATAAAAATAGCGTGTGCTTCTTCCGAGTTTGTGCCAGTTCAAAGATTGAGTTTTTTTGGTAATTTGTTTTGTTTTTCTGTGTGAAAATGTAGTTAGAAGTTGTGAAAACCCTATTATTTCGTGGTTAAGGCAGGAGGCTGTGGGCAAATGGTGGCTTGAGAATCCATGGCAACAATCCTTAGTGCGATGTGATTGGATCTATTTTCATGCAACGCTCATGTGGCTTCAGGAACTGCAGAAGAAGAAGAAGCGGCTGTCGTGCGCTAAAATATTAAAAAAATCGGTGTAATATTGGAAAGAGGTGACACATTTTTTACTTTTTGTTGAATTTTCACAACACTGTTTAACTTACTTTTGAGATTTCTGTGCCCAAACAATCTCTGTTTCACCTACCACCTATCCCCGCCCATTTTTCTGGACATACTTTGAGTGACACAAGAACTCCCAGAGCAGTCAATTAGACGGCTTTTAGTCTTTTTCATGAATTACTCAGCTCATGTACATTGTTGATCTTTCAAACTTTGTGACTTTTTCTGTATCCATTGGCAGTTTTTTTTAGGTCCTTCTTTTTAGGAAGTTATCTTTTTTTTTATGTAAGAAGTTCTGCCTTTAACTGAAAAGTACGTAGCCAAAAACCATTTTCGGTTGCTAGGAAACCAACACTCTATGGCAGTTACTGTATAGTTAACTGCCATAGAATGTTGTTAGAGTTAAAAAAGTTAAAGCCCCTTTTTGGAATTTGCTGGTCCTAGACTGGCCTGGACTGGACTGGTTCTGGGTCTGAGCCGAGTCAGCTTGGTTTTCCACCAGAGCCGAGACCATAGTTACCATAGCAACACATTGTTTACTTGCAGCACCAATATTTGTATTGCAGTTATATATTAATAATTTTTATCAATTTTTATCATCTACTAAAAGTGACTAAAAGTAAATCCTTATAAATTACTTGCTTTTAATAAATAAACAAATAAAAACATATTTGGGGGAATTCCATTTTAAGCAAACCAAAAGATATTTAACTGTTGCGAGTTCTTTTTCAATAATTAATTCTTCTTTGCCTGCATGGCATTTAGAATAAAATCTATTCCCATGAAAGGGAGTGGATGGCAAATCCTTGGAGGGACAAATATTCCCATTGAGTTTTACAAAACAATGCACAACAATGGAGATAAGCAGAGTGTAAGTCGAGGAAAACTGATACAAAATGTGCCTTTGATATTGCGTTCTCAAAATGTAATGTAAATAACTTTGAATTAGCAAAGTAACCACATGAACGTTGCATTTCAGTTAATGATCACAGTGTATGAGGTTCCATAGGTAGATATCCTAGAAAGAAAAGAAAGTTGGCCCTGAGGAGAATAATCTTTTGTAATCGTCTGTAAAGTATTTGCGTGTGTAGCATGTATCTTGATTCGATTTCCCGAGGACGATTGCTAACGATGCTAACTTCAGTGCAACAAACCACCACATGGCAGAGAGCAAGCCACTCGCTAGCACAATAACATAGCTACCACCACTGTTAGCAACAGAACTAGCATACAAGTACATTAGATATTACAAGATGTTACAATCCTACGCGTTATAGGCTAATCAGCACCACCAACAAACCGTCGCGGACAGTATCGCGAGATGGCTAATTCGACCGTCCATTTCTATCTTAGCGGCACAGACACAAGTTGTGCTTTAATCCTGGATCTGGTTGTTCCATGGAAAATCCTTCGCCTTTTTCTGTCACACTATCGACCCATCAAGGCTCATCAAGGAGGAATTTTGAGGTTCTGAGGCCGCTTCTGAACAACTTCTCTTGGGAATCACGAAGTCCTCCAAAGTCCAAACTCTTCCATCAAAGGGTTCTCAAGCTTTCGTGAAAAAAAAAATGTCACGTCAAAAGCAAAGCCAACAAGAAATCCAACGTATAATCCAGGTACCACGTCGAGTCCTGGAATTGACTTGCATCCAGCCTCTGATCCCGTGGTTTTAGAATTTTTTCTCGGTGTCCATTTCTTCTACGTGCTTCGGTAGGTCTTGATGATGTCTTTGATTTGTCTGCGGCAGATGGGGCAGCAGGCGTTGGACATCTTCTTGAGCTTGACGCCGCAGGTGTAGCACAGACACATGTGGCCGCAGGCGTAGATGACCGTGTCCACCGTGTTCTCGTAGCAGATGGAGCACTCGTCGGTCCAGGGAGCGTGGCCCGTCGGGAACGTTGGCGACTTGGGAAGGCTGATGGGGGAGTTGGGGGTTGTACCTGAGACCCAGAGACAAGAGCAGTGGGTTAGAAACACGTGTGATCGCATGTACCAGAAACACCAGAGATTTAGTTTGTTTGACATTTGCAGTAAAACCCCATTGGAATACATGTGCAAAAGTATCGCAGTGTGCACCAGGCAAATACAAAAATAAAACAAGCTAAAAAGTACAAGAAACATTCGTCAAAGTGAAACCAATCAAGAAAAACAGTTACAAGTGACAGATTATGACATTGCTTTGTTCAGACTGATATCATCTTGTAGAGCATGTTAGCAAAACGATTTCTCCTGCATCTCAGCGGACAATATCAGAATCAGTATCATTTTATCGCCATGTGAGTAACGACCCTAGGAAATTGCTTTGGCTCTCAGTGCGAACAAGTTAAAGTAGAGCATAAAATAAGGCATGCACGGAGAAAAATCTACATACATTTCTTTAAATTACTACTATCTTCTGCCAGAGGGAAGAAGCTGGAACATGGCTTTTCCAGGGTTTACACAAGAGTTACTGATTCCAGAAATGGCCGGTGTGGCTGTACAGGGTTTGATTCTAACGAAGCAGAAACACGCTGTAGACTTCATCCGTTTCCTCGAGTCTTCAGGTTAAGACTGGACTCACTCGAGGAAATGGGCGGAGTCTACTGTGCTCCTGCTTGGTTGGTCTGAAATCCTGTAGCCACCCCTGGAATATGCAGTGCCGTTCTAGCAATTAAATATGACTGCATGTGAACAGGGCAACATGATTAATCACATTTGATTCTGAATTTTTCACAATTATCAATTAGCAAAGACTGGAATTGTTTACGTTCTTGGAAACAAAAAGGGACAAAATACAAACAAAATATCACTTGAATTTGGGGGAACAAATATCTATCAATGGGAAATGCATTTACCTTTTGTCTTTGTAGTATTATTTTCTCATTCACTCGCTAAAAGTTTTAATATTTTCTCTGAACAAAATTGGACTTTTATTAAAAATCGCATCACAATATAGAAAAATATAAGGGGTCAAAAGCCTTTACTTTTACTGAATCATATAATTTTGCATTAAAGTGAAATTCCTCTATCTTCTATCGCTCCTTGATAGACATACCCAGTCCTAGTCCACATGTTGTCCAGGCATAAGGGACTGATTGTGCGTTTATCACCAGGATGTGTGCGACCTAAATAACCCTACACAATGCAAAACAATGTGATGTCAAAGAGATGATTGGAAAATGTATCTTGCATAATCAAAACAGGAAGTGTGAATGAGGTGTTTTTTCTGGCGAATTAGGTCCTGACATTTACATGATCCACACATCCAGCTGCAGCTCCGTCCTCTCTTTCTTTCTCTCTCCATATCTGTGTCTTTCTCTCTATCTCCCTGTATCAGTCTCTTTCTCTCGCTGTCTTCCTCTCCCTCTCTATTTTTCCTGTCTCTCTCTCTGTGTATCTGCCTCTTTCTCTCTTTCTGTCTATCTCTCTCCCTCTCCCTGTGCATCTGCCTCTTTCTCTCTCTCTCTGTCTATCTCTCTCCCTCTCTCTGTGCATCTGCCTCTTTCTCTCTCTCTGTCTATCTCTCTCTCTCTCTGTGCATCTGCCTCTTTCTCTCTCTCTCTGTGTATCTGTCTCTTTCTCTCTCTCTCTCTCTCTCTGTGTATCTGCCTCTTTCTCTCTCTCTCTCTCTCTCTCTGTGTATCTGCCTCTTTCTCTCTCTCTATCTTCCTCTCTCTCTCTCTCTCATGTGTGATTGATGGGAGTTGCTTCTGCAGTTACAGTGCCCCCTGCTGGTCTTGAACTCACCTCCTACTGAGCTGCAGTAGGCTGCGGTGCACAGACCTCCGTTCAGGGCCAGATCCGAGCCGCCGCAGCCCAAAGCACTGGGGGTGTGAGGGGAGGAGGAGGGAGAGCTGGGTCCGGAGGTCGCCCCTGTGTCTGCACCGTGGGTCGAACCTGAGACACACACGGATAAACATTTATAGTAAATGTTGTATTATGGTGAAGGCAGGGAAAGGAGAAGTTTGTTTGGACAAAAAGGGAGTTCAAAGTGCTTTTAAAAAACACAATAAAATGAAAATACTAACAAAAATATATCACATGAAAATCCTTCTTACAAGAGGAGCACACAGCACAAGATAAGTGAACAACAGCGTTTTTGAGTTGTTGATTTCCGATGCAGGAGGGTCTAAGAACAGGACATGTATTTGGACTTTAGACTTGCTTCTTAATATGCCAAAGGTAGCGATTTTGAGCTCCTTTTATAATGCTAAAGTCAGAGTTTTTTGCACTCATTATGCTAAAGATAGAGATTTTATACTTGTTTCATGTTCATGCTAGAGTTAGTGCTGTTGATCATGATTTTGTGAGTGCCTTGTATGTTTTTTGTCCAACAGCATCGTGAGCCTAAGACAAATGTCCCTTTGCGGAGAGAGAAGTTGAACCTTGAAAGTTGAATTCCAGAAGTAAATGGACTCCTGAACGATATTCTAACTTTCCCAGTTTCAGCTGTATTACAAACACAGTAAAAAAGTGATATAATATGAGGTAATAAATGCTTGAATTGAGTGTTTTATCTTAATTTGAGTACATTCGAACATGTACATGTCTTCAAACAAGATTTGCCAATGGGGTAAGTCACTCATGGTAATTCAAGAACTGTAGCTTTATTTTATCGATCGAAGAAAGATATTTCTTGTATCATTTTAAAACAAGACATTTTTGCTCGTCCCATTGGCAAATCTGGTTTTAAGGCAGACAAAATGTGCTCACAATTAAAATACACCAAATTTGATTAATTTTTAATCACGTTTTGCAATGAATATAAAAGAGTTCAAAAAAGATTATTTCATAAGATTTGGTGAACATGTAAACTGTAGAGGTATCATTTATCCATCATACCTTTACCTTTAGGGTCAGAAATACTGTACCACTAATTCTTTAAACAAAATGGTCCATGTAATGCTGTAGGAGGCATGACTAACAGGAACGACAGCGCTGAACTCAGAGCATCGATCATTCCGCTCACAGATCTCTACGTGACGCGAGATGGAGAAACAAATGGGGATTCCACGCTGGAGGAGCACATGTTTAAATGTCACGCAGCCTCAGAAGATCGGCCCGACTGTGGGGGCCTCAACGTGACTCAGCCTCAGTCAAAACAACTGTCATCGCACATGTTCAGAGCCCCTCCCAATCTCTAGTATGATGGGAATTTTAGATTTTTAACACTCTTGACTCCCAGAATTCTGAAACTACTAAAACGTCCAGACTGCTCCCATTCAAACCAATAAATTCCCCCCAAAAATGTTTAGTTTTTCACCAGATTTCTGTCATTTCAAGTAAACAGTGTGTTGGTATGGCAACAACATATATTTTTTTTCTCTAGGAGTTAAGGGGAAGAACTGCTACACATTTCAGAAATAAAAGATAATTTCATCAAAAATAATGACATAAAAATAAATTATAAATGGATACAGGTAAAAGTCACACAAAGTTATTAATATAAACTAGCCACATCTGCCCTGGGGCACACTGCAACCAGCATCTGCTAAAGACCATCACCAACCATTCACACACACACACACACACACACACACACACACACCAGACTCATTCTAGGCAACGGTTTGGCACATTACAGCCACAGCCGCCCCACTATGGCACCTGGTGTTCCCAGAGGTCTCCCATCACAGCGCTAGCCAGGCCCTGCCCTGCTGAGCTCCAGAGGTCTGACTGGATCTGGCTTTCACATGCAGGTATGGTCAAATTGTAATTGTATGTCTGAGTGGTCGGTCTAACGGCTAATTCAGCTAAAAGTGTGTGATCCTAAAAAAAGTTTGGAATTGAATACTTGTTTCAAACCCGCTTATTATTTGTAATTTAGAGAGAAATATTTTCCCCAAAAGTCTCCCAAAATACAGCCAAAATATTCAACACATTAGGATGCAAATGAGCTGCTTTCCAGAGCAGGCGTGTAATCATCAACAAAGCCTTCACATCAAATGCTTTGCTGAGTGTAATTGCAGATTACTTTAATTACTTTCCCCCATGCGCACTGTCGAAAACTAACTATTCCATCAAGAGTCCTCTGTGCAGAAAGCTCTATTTTTGGATTTGAAAAAAATAAAAACATTCTGAAAGTTCACTTGAGGCAGAAAATGGGGTGATGAGAGGGGTGATAATGTTTGCGGTAACCTTTGGAGTTTCTTGTGAACAAAATTAATGGCCGTGCAATTCTTTTAGTTTTCTTAATCGTCTGGTGTTTTATGTTATCATGGTTTTTTGAGCTTGAAATTTTGTTAAAAGTCTAATAATTCCTCAAAATGACTACAGTTCTTTGTGAATATTAGGCGTGCAAATGTGACTTTATCAAATGTTAAATCTCGCGAGTTTGTGTTGGTTGATTGGTCACAAGAGACATTAAACGGCATTTGTAAAAGTCCGAAAATTCCGTTGAATATGATTGGACTTGACACTTGCTCCAGCTCATCTGGGGGAATCATGGGGTGTTCCAAGACCAAGCTGAGAAATATAGTTGTCATTATGACTGCTCCCATTCAAATCAATTCAATGTATTCTTGTATAGCCCTAAGAATCATACCGTTCAAACACAAGAATCAAAACAGAAAACACATTGGTATCGGTCCATAAAGGGGCAGATGACCAACGTCCATAAGTGTTGATGAATGTCCATAAAATCAAACCAACGGAATTCAGAAAATTCAACAGATTCTTGCTTCAGTAATTGATGTGAGAAACAAGTTCATGCCACTGATACAAAAGTACAACACAGCATGTCACTGTTGTGTTCTTGTTTGACAATTGTATCATACTTTATATTCATTCATTTTTCATTCATTTTCAACCCCTTTATTAGTCCATCTCTGGGTCGGGGGTGGCAATGAGAGCTGCCACCCAATGCACATAGCTCCAGTCCCTCTGATCCTCTGCAGGTGGGTCCCCAGGAAGATGGCTTCTCCGTCTGCGGTGAAACAGCCTTGGTCTTTCAGCAGGGGCTTCAGGCAACGTGGGGTTAAGTGTCTTGCCCAAGGACAAAACGACAGTAGACATTTGTGGGAGCAGTTGGAGTAGGTCCCACAGTGGGCTCAAACCCATGACCTCCAGGCCCAAAGAACAATGCTCTACCAACTGAGCTACTGTCGCCCCCGTACTTCATATGTCTCTGCTAAATACTGTTCTGTAACTTTGTATTGCACCTTCGACCAGTAATTTGCACATTCTCCATTTGCTGCTAAATGTTAATGTTATTGTATTTTGCACATTATGATTTGTGACTGTAGCTACATTGATAACTTGCACTTTTTTAAATGAATTTTAATTTTATATGTGAATATGTGCTATATGTTATATGTATGTATTTTCAGAGACTACAGATGGAAAGAAGCATTGGTGCTATATCTGGTGCAGCCATCTTTTTAATATACTGTAGCTGCACATTGCCCTTGATAAACTAAACTCTAAACAGCAAAAACAGAAAACCTTGGCACGCGGTTGTATTCAAGAAGATTAAAGATTCAAGAATGTATTTGCCATTTGCAGTAAAACCACATTGGAAAAACTGTGCAAGAGTAAGATGGTACCAGCGCTCCTGCCACGGCACCATTTTTCAGGTTTATCCAAGAAAATAAACAGCAGGATTGTGTAATATTTATATTTTAGACATGTTTAGTCATATTGAACCCTCTACCGCTAAAACGCCATTGATTTAAAAAGCAGAAATATCTCCACTTTTGCAAATAAAGCATACAGACTGTAACTTTTAAATGATAATAGCAACCGTGATGCTCCTGTGTTTGCCTGAGAAAAAAAATATATATATTGAGGCCATAAATAATTGGTTTTATCCATCAGTTATTGAACGACAACTCAATAAAGTAGTCATTATGTCAGGCCTATTGACACCAGTATAATATCTTTAATATCTCATATCGCTGGCACTGAAGTCCGTGCTAATGGACCCGTGTCTTCGCCCAACTGGGTCACAGCATTTGAGGCAAACGTCTCATTAATTTGGGTGTTTTTCTTGTCGCTGGTGTGTCATCCGTGTTACTCACTGCTCTATTTCCGGATCTTTGTGATGTGGCCTGTCTGAAAAGCTTAGAGAGGGGATTTCTCTCATGGCTTCACAATGGGGGGATGCCCTAAAGCGCTTTTTATGATTTATGGATGGGTCGCATATGGAGAGTGTTATGTAACAGACGGTACATGGCGTCTCTGCTAATACTGTCAGGTGGGACACAAGGTTAACCAGCCGTGGAAGTACTATCAATCTTCCCTCACCGGAGCGGACCTGAAATAGTGCAGTATTTAAAAGGCATAGCGGACATAGCAGAGACTCATCAAAGTACATGTATTATTTATTGCAAGTGTGTGCAATAGATTACATTAAAGTGGCAATATGTAAGATTTGTAACGTCATGTCATGATGAAATGGCCCTAATACGTGAACATTCATTCATAAACTTTGCTCTTTTCTGATATATTTGAATTTGAAAATTAGTTTTACAATCCCTAAATCTTGTTATTGTTTTAATTTCTATGTCCCGCCCTACACCGTTTAACCAATCAAATCTTTAAAGTAACATGTGGGCGTAGAACTTATGATCCTTATGATTCTCGAATCATTAATGACAAAACAAGGAATAAAACGAGGAATTTCGATCTGGGCCTTTGTGAAGAATGTGTAGGTTATAGATTTTTTGGTGAAAAAACTGTTGGATTCGTCTGCATATCTGACAACCTGAGAGAGAGAGTGCAGTACCACGTTTGGCCAGATTTTTACATACCGCTCCTTTAAATTAATAAAAAAATATGTGAATCATCAGTTGGGGAGAGAGGTGAGGACTAGATCTGAAGAAGTGTTCAGTTGCTGTAGGTCATTTTGATATGAATGAATGAATATTAATGAATATTTATTTATTATTGTGTCTTAC